ATGATATTTTTATAAATAAGTCTGCAAATAGGTTTTTAATTTATTCATATTTTATTACCAGTGGGATCTTTTTAATTATTTTAATATTATGAATTGTAAAGCACTTTGGTCAATTAATGGAGTTAGCGCTATATAAATTATGTTAAATTAAATTTAATTAAAGAAAGACGAACTCAGCTCTGCTGTAAATGTGTTCAGAAGATGTGTAAAAAATCCCACCCCATTAACTTTCTTATTCCGAGAACAGCAACGAGTGGTCATAGTTACAACTTTCGATCTGGCGACAACAACAGAAGTATTGTTTACGTTGATAGGAATCATTGCCGGACCCAGCGTTCAGATTCTTTTATCTCTTTCAATAGTGAATATGCAAACATGTAAATAGTTAATTAAGATATTTTTATTGTTCTTATAGTAATTGTAGATTTAATTAATTATTGATTGTAAATTTAGCCCTTTAATTCAGTTAATTCTGCAATGTGGCAAATAAACGGTATATTATTATTATTAATTATTATTATTATTATGTATTACACAAACAGTACTCTTGGTTTCTTTTTCAGCCATTTGAGCTATTGATAGTTCTTTCTCTTCTCACTTCAATGTTATACAACTCCTGATGGTTTACCATTTCTTTCCTTTTTGTGTCCGTCATAGAATAGACACAAAGATGTTTCCATCAGATACATACATGTTTATTTTCTATCCTAAACGACCATGCATATATTACAACCAAATGTTTATATTTTCAAAACCTCAATTTTAAGAAATCATAGTTAGAAAGTATTTCAAATGAATGTACATGTATATTGGACAGGTACAAATCGAGAAGCAGTTCAGGTATGAGCTGCCTCAAACTGGGTACCAATCCACTGAATCTGGACATTAAATGACTGGGTATGAAACAACTGTGGGTACAAAATGACTGGATACCAATTTCTTTTGGACTGTGGCTTATGATGTTTGCCAAGACTACAATAAGATAAAGGTGAAATCAATACACACAAAGACGAATCTAAATGAAGGAAAACCTTACAGAAACTATAAACTTTACCAAAGTTGCAGTCTATTCTTTCTTAGCAATAGGTAACTATTGTAATCTATGAAACACATTGCCTATATCTGCTTGACAACAGGCAGTCACTGTTCCATGAGGAAAGGAGCTTAGTTTTTTCCTGCCAGTGCTTTTTTTAGTTCAGATGGTTTAAACACACCACATTCTGTGGCAATACCTCCTGTTATTAACTCTGCTGGAGTAACATCAAAAGCTGGATTCCAGCAAGCAATGCCAGGGGCAGCTATACGCACACCTGCTACATTAGTAAGTTCTTCAGCAGGTCTCTCCTCAATCACAATATCACTGCCATGCTCTAACGACAGGTCAATGCTGGTGGAGGGCACAGCAACATAGAATGGGATTCCATGATGTTTAGCTAACAAAGAAAGAAAAGTTCATTGTTAACAATCACTGACAATATCTATTTAATGGCTAACATCTGAGGGACAGAGACTCTAGCCTTCTCCTTTTTGCACCAGACTACAGAGAGATCATTCCAGGTACAGACTTTTTAATGGGTCATTATACATTGGGTTTTTTTAGTTAGACAGTTTACTCTCACAAATTCTCTCTACTGGAAACTAGCAGAGACTAGCTATGCTATTTGTGGATAGTGGTTGATTACGTTAAGTTAAGTTTAATGCCATTAAAATAAAAGAATCTACTGGAAACTGTCAGGCAAACATAATTAATTGCCTGATTTCTATTGCATCCTCTGTTTATGAAGATATAAAAACCTTCTCCTTATAGAACATGCAGAAGAAATATAAAATTCAGCTGCACACAGAATTTATCCTTTTGATTAATACACCTTGTGAATCAGAATAACCAAAATGTGTAAGGACAAAAAGAAAATACCTGGCATATCACTTCCTTACCAGCTATGGCTATCTGATATGTCCCTATCTTATTTGCTGTATCTCCATTTGCAACCACTCTGTCAGCACCCACGACAACTGCATGTACTCCTTTTGTCTTCATGAGTAGTGAAACCATTGAATCTGCTACTAAGGTTGAAGGGATATTCTCATAGACCAACTCATATGCTGTAAGCCTTGATCCTTGGTTATAAGGTCTGGTCTCAGTACAGAACACATGATCAATATGGTCTTGTTCGGACAAATGTCTTATCACTCCTAATGCTGTTCCAAATCCTGATGTTGCTAGGGAACCAGTATTGCAGTGTGTGAGCACCTTTAACTTGTCAGCCCCTACCAGTTGTAACATATGCTCTGCACCAAGCCTTCCCAGAGCCTTGTTATCACTTAGATCTTTTTCTAGCATTCCTTCAATTTCAGTGATAAGTTCCACCTTGACAGTTTCAGTGTCATTGATTTTTGAGGACGAGTCTTTGACGAACAATGTCAAATGCTTTGCAGCTTCCATAATATTTACTGCTGTTGGTCTAGCTGTGGTAAGATACTGAAGCTTCTCTGCAACAAAGTTTTTCAGTTCTTCTTTGGAACTAAATGACACTGGTAAAAGCTCTACTGCAAGACTCAAGGCACCAACCAAAGCAATTGCAGGAGCACCACGAACCTGAAACAATAAAACATATATGTATCTCTGAGAGTTTTGTGCATTTACTTAATAAAATGTTGGTTTACTGAATGCATAGTTTGAAATAAATGACTCTGTAACATTCATCATATGCACCAAAACATAATAGCCACTGCGATTTGTAACTTGTCCATAAATATACCTAGTAGGTACACTGACATAAGTGCTCTGATGCAGGATCTTGGCAGTAACTTTTCAGACATCAGTCTATAACCAAATAAATTTCAATGAGATTTAGAGTTGCACCAACTACAAAAAAATGAACTGCTACCTAGAGTGTAACAGAAGTAACTCTAACTGTAAGCAAACCAAATTTGAACCAAACAAATGCAAAAGTTATTTCTGTAAAGTTTACTGACTACACTGGAATTTAACCTACTACCGGTGAGCAATATGTAATATTGCTGAATATTCCTCTACTCCTCTCAGAAGTCTGGTTTCTTAAGAAAATCATCATATCATCTATCACAGTATCTATCACCAAAACATTTAAAACTGCACAAGTTGGTTTCGTTGTGCAGTGTATCAAGAAAATTAAACACAAATGATCGCAGGCATTTCACCATCTTGAATATTTCTACTCCTCTCTAGTAACTACAGCACAATTTTCTTTAAAATTCCCCTTCCTGACAATTAGCACAATACATGTCTATGCTACAGCTATTAAAAGTTGTAGATTGTATCTTTCGGGTAGGTATTGTACAAAGTAGTACAGGCACCTGTGCACAAAGAGTCGAAGAGAAAAAGGGAAAGTGGGGTCAAAGAGACTACCCAACGCCTCCTCCTCTCCCTACCCCTATAAGAGACTGTGCTGGGGGGGGGAGGGGGAGGGAGAAATGGTATTATTTACATATGACTTCTCTGGAGATTATTTAGTGCAGCAAGATATAAATTCATACACTAAAATCCACTCATCAAGTTTTGAACCCAAATCACTAATCTGTTTCACACAATAAATCTGTAATTGAACTGTTCTTCATCTGTGCTTAGTTTCTTATAGTCTTGATCCAGATCCACAAGTAAATGTGCATTAAGACTCTCAGTAACACAGAATTTGATTTTCTTTTTTGAGTGTATGGTTCAAAAACAGTTTTCTTCCATCTTGTTGCACTTCATAATCTTTTCCCCTTAATCAAATGAACAAGTTAACCCAATTTATCCACAGCATATATCTTTGGAAATGATCTGTTGGATTTTGTCTTCTTTTCATCATTACCAGATAAGCCTTTCTTGACATTTTGTTGCTCTTCAGTGTAAAGTTAAATTCCCAAATTTATTTTTTCCTCTTTTTCTCCTTCATTACTTCTTAAACATCCACCTGTCTTTCGGAGGAAACTGACCCAGAAATATCTTTAATCAGAAAAGATGTTTGCTTTGATCCCCCTACTACAAGAAAGTGAGAAATATTCCCAGAACTGAAACAAACACACAATCTTGATTTGAAATTGTTCCTCAAGCTTAACATAGAACTGAGCAAGTTTGCCTCTTATCCCATTCTTTGCACACAAATCACAAACTTCTTGAGCACTTTCTGCACATTTTTTCCAGGAAGCCATGTAACTAATTTTTTTCAAATTGAATCTACATTGAATTTGATTCCTTCAAATAAGGTGTATTCCACTTTAAGTCTTTTAAAAAAACTGTCAAGCCACCGAAGTGAAAACTTAATGTTTTGCAACGTACACGTGTTAACGTTCCAAAACGATCCCTGAGTCATCAGCCCTGGATGTCCACGTGGACAATATTGAGGTCCTCATTACCATCTTACAAAATTAAATTGCTTCTAACCAGATTAGCTCATATAAAAGCCATCCTTGTCTATCTCATGATCTAATGTAACATTTTCGCCAAAAATGCCGCCTATTCAATCATAATGGAGTTATATTGAAGAACCTCGTAAGGGTTTTTATAAAATATTTTAAATCTAGGTCACTTCCGCTAACGAAGTGAGCTCTTTGCTCAAACTACCTTCATTGTTCTTATCGCTTGCCAGCCATCTTCTGCTCCAGTAATCTCCTCATATACTGACTCGTGAGGAAGGAGAAGCTGGTTGAGAATCTCAAGATGTCCACGTTTGTATTTTATCGCTAAAAGAGACATTTTTGCTTTCGAAGCAAACCCTTTCGTCGAGCAACGAGAAATAAACTTTAAGCCTCGTTCTGACAACCATAATATTTAACTTCCCCCTCCCCAGAGTAGAAAATTAGCTCTCCCGAGTCCTTCCGCCGAGTGAGGGAATATTTTTCAGTTTCACTCGGCGTAATCGTTCGATTTGATAATATATGAATATATGGAATCTAAAGGGGATAGTCCGATCTGGGTAAATGTGTTAGACTTCATTTCTGCTTGTAAAATCCTTTATTAAAGATTTCATTCAGGTAGCCTCTATTTTCTACATTTTAATATATATGCCTAACTCTATTATACTTGTACCTAAGAAGGTTTATTGCAACTGAAGGGGTGTAGGCCTAACGCAACGTAAGGAAAAAAAGTAGAAAATCGCGGATGACAGAAAATTAATTAATTAGCGATATGATTACATGGAGAGTTGCAAAGGTCAACACTGTCTGCCAACTTACACGCCGGCTGAAAGTCAAAACGGAAATCGTCCAAGTTATTGTTCAAAATTGCGAAGAGCGACAAGCATGGAGACCAAAACTATTAAGAACTCGAACATTCCCCTTTATGGCTTTTCTTTCCATTTGATTTTGACGTTAGGCTCACTCGATTTTACTTGCTATTCCATGCACCAACTGGATTCGCGTCTAGCAGTTGTTGAGCAAATTTTCCTTCAAACAAGTCCTCTAAATCAGCTTCCTTTAAACATTATTGCTAACCCGACATCTACGAATTTGCTTGGAAGTGGATGGAAAACGAAGGAAAAAATCATCAAAAGAGATTTTTCTAGTCCCTTTATCTGTACCAAGTGTGGAAATGTCTGCGCCAGCTCGAATGGGCCACAGCGAAATGTGGGTTGTCTTTCTTCCATCTGTAGTTGTTCTCATAAGGATCAAAGTTTTGTTCACTCGTTTCCTCTCTAGGCCGGGTACCATACGAATCTATCTAAAGTGAATCAGCCTTAGACGCCATTGTACATAATGTTCGCTTAATAAAGGATATTCTATACACAAGGCTAAAAGATTAGGAAAAAAATGATTAAAATGTTTAAACCAAACGTTTTCGGCTGTTTGCCATCTCCAGGGTTACGTACGTCTTTAGTATGAGCAAAGGTCAAATTTCACAGACAGCATTCTCTGACAACTGATCAGTTTGAACTTGCAAAACTAGATAAATATGTAACATCTAGTAGACAATTCATTATGACATATGAAGAGAGACGTTTTTTTTTTATTTGAAGCTTAAAATGACTGGATCATCCATTGGTATAAAAACACGATAAAAGACTTGATTCAACAAATGACAGACGGGCGACTTGGAACAGAACATGCTACTCATGACACATAGGTCTTTCCTCTGTTTTTTCATGGATAACTGGGTTAAGGTTCCTATTTTTCTTCTCGTTAATCAAAGAACAACATATTTTGATGGCAAATTGCTCCTTTCACGGCTTAAGCAGAGTAGAGAACATTCTTTTTCACCGACTTGATTACCTTCAGTTTCAAGCTCTTTTCAGACACAAATACTCTTTCGCGCTGGCTAGGAAATTTTGAAATATAATGTGAATCTACCCACACAAAGATACCGCATTAATCTCAAAATAGGGAAAATTTTCGTCGTAAACGGTATCTATTCTAACTCTTTGAGATGCCTAGTGCAGGCTTCAAAGATCCTCTCTTGGCCTCTCGCCAAGTTTTTGGCTTCCCGAGTCAGTCTGAACACAATATGATCTTCTTCAATCAGCAGAATGTGACGGCAAAACAAAATCAGTAGAGGATGCTTTTCATGGAAGGTAAGATCAATTCATCTGCGTGTACCACAGTGAGTCTCTCAGCAGCCGGGGACTTGGCCTTCGTTTCAAGTTTTTTTGCGACTCCATTGCCGGCGTTAGAACAATTTAGAATATAAACAAACATGTAAGGCAACAGAGTTTCCTAGAAAGTAAGATTTTATTGCAGTGTTTTCCGTAAAAAATGTATTTTTTTCCAATAAAATATGATGGCAGTTTCTCGTTGAAAGGATCAGAAAGATTTCACAACTGATGCTCAGCCCAGAAAATTGACTTACTCAGTTTGATAAACACTTTTGGGTGCATGTATGCGCAGGTGGGGTGGGAGAGGGGTCGGTAGAAGGAGGAAAGTACTGTTAAACTTATCTGTATTAACAGCATGTATGATAAATAATCCTAAGTATGTAGGAATCCCTGCACTAGAAATCTCAGCTTGTTCCCAGTTGTTGTTGTTGTTGTTTTTTTCACCTTCTCTAATTATGAGCACCAGACCCCTAACAAACCTCTTTCTCTCAGGCAAGGTACCAACGATAAATGCTTGCCCGCAGACCATGATTAGCCTACCAGGTAGAAATCAAAGAAAAAAGTTGCTAATTTTACATCACAATTCAGACTGGTAACCACATCATAGAGCTCTTATTCATCAAACACTTAGACTCGATTCAACAGGTCGTCGAGGTGCACAAGGTCCACCGGGTCCTCTTGGCTCAGCTGGTGCCCAAGGTCCTCCCGGTTTACATGGACCTAAGGGCCCTTCCGGTAAGAGAGGAAGAAAAGCAACAGAGGGGCCACCGGGCCCTCCGGGTGAACGGGGCGTCAAAGTTTCCTAGGTCCCCCTGAGAAATGATCACCTGAAAAAAATTGCAGTGGAGGGGCTCAATTAGGTAAGATGACGTGATTTTCATAAGAAGCCAAGACACCTTTATATCTGTTCCTGTTAAAATTCTCTGCCAGCAAACAGGCAACAGAACGTTTGAGCTTAACTTGCATGCCGATTGTCAAACTGAGATAGTTTCCATCCTTGCCAGGGGTCTTTTCTCATGTTGCACCGAGCGTTATTATACTGACGCGAAATGTTTTAAAAATTTCAAACTATTGAAAAACCACTTGTTTGTTTGCTTGATTTCAATCCATTGAACTAATTATCAAGTTAGAGTCGGTCCAAAGACGTGCTACAAAGTTCATTTTAAGTTTGCCAATCTCCACATCCATAGATGATAGGACACGACTCCAATCGTTGAAACTTCCACCCATCACGTATTGGCACGAATTTATGGATACGATATTCTTCTACAAGGCTACGCATAACCTTGTCTCTTTGAATGGGTTCTGTATTACCTGTAAAACGTGTTGCAAGAACTAAACGCTACACTAACACTGTCATCAAATTTGTTCCTAAAAAATGCAAAACTACTACTTATCAAAAGTCTTTTTGCATCAGAACTTGTCTGATTTTGAACACTTTAGCCAGTATAATTAACATTGAAACCCAAACTCTGAACTAATTTAAGACCGTAATGTTTAATTACTATTTGGCCAGTTTCCTTAATATCTCTTACGATCCGAATAAGCCCAAAACCTTTCAGTCTATTTGTTTAAAATGTAATAATGTCCGTCCACTAAATTCTAAGATTACTTGCTGCATGTAGATTGATAGTTTCCTTTCTCCCCTTCTCTTGTCTTATTTTCTTTATATTCTGGGCCCGCTGTAATTGGCTATACTATTGCGGTGTCCCTGCCATTTTCTTTTTTTTTTTTTTTTTTTTTTTTTTTTTTTTTTTTTGTCAATTTTTGTCAATTTTTTTATCTATTTATTTTGACTGTTGTTGCTAGACGAAGTTAATAAATAAATAGAATTACCGAGCAGCGTTACTAAGCCTTTTTCTGTGACAATTCAAGAGAGCCAAAATGTCACGTTACCTTGTAAAGCAGAGGGATTTCCGACACCAGTCATCAGGTGGCACAAGAATGGTCACGTACTGAAGGACAAAGAAAACTGTCTGCTTCTCCCGACGGCCTGTTTTTATCGATTGTAACCACAAAAAATAAAACCAGGAATAGCCTCCCTGGTAAAATTTATTCCTTGTTTATCTCGTGGAATCAATGTCAGCGGACTGTAGCTCGTAATTGCTCCAGTCTAGGGGATTTTAGCGCTTTGCCTTCGTGACCTGTGTATCCTGCATGGCAAATGCATTCGCGAGCGAGAGCCAAATATTCTAATCGAGACTAAAACCTCCCATATTTTATAACTGAGATCGAGGAAATTTGAGTGAACTAATGAGTGTATCACCCCTTTTTGAGTTCATTGATGGAGGTCCAAGTCGGTTAGTCTGCATGAGAGACAGATTCACACAGCGCGCGCAAGGTGACACAATGTATCCTTTCCCCGGTCCTCTTAGATTGAAATCCATCACAGGATTCCCTGATAGTTCATCAGCCACCATCCCTTTACACTCCCGGGTACAGAGAGACACTGTGAGGGTGAAGTGTCTTCTATGAGAGCACAACGCAATGATGCAGTCACGCTGACTAGACCTAGGACCTCTCGATCCTAGTGCGCTCATTGTGCTCAATATGAATAGCTTATTTCAAGTAGCTGTAATAATGTCAAACTTGCCACACAGGAACAGGAGAACGTACGGCTCATCGACTTATGCTAACAACGGGCCTCGAAGTTTCCTTGCAATAACGAGAATGCGATGGCCTGTGTGAAATGATTTTGACTCTTCAAAAATGTGGATGGAATCGAGACAGACATGAAAGGAACAAATTAGGTTCAACTGGTTTCCCGCCAAAATTGTTTTTACGCCCCTTTCTTCTGTTCACGTGATCGGTCCATTGACGTACACACACCACAAGGATTAAAAGTCATTACATAACTTTTTTTCGGAACCACAAGGAAATATTCAATCGCTTTTCCTTGTATAAGTACCTGGTAAAAAGAAAGCAAATGATATATCGTTGTTTGGCGCTTTTTTCTCCTTTGTTTTTGCGGTTCCAACTCCCACTTGATAATTTGCATTCTCTGAACAACGCGGAACTGAGTGTACACTTTCAGAACTCTTCTCCAGTATTTGCATGGCCTCGAGTTCGGTCTGACCTTTCAGTTTCTTGGCTCACTAATCCTATATCATTATCTTAAACATAAATAACTACTATTATTTGACTTTAATTAATACTTTCAGCAAAATGTTTATTTCGCAAGGCTGGTTATGTTGTTCTTTTATCTCTCCACTTTTAAACAAAAAAAAAAACGTTTTTGATAACAACCTTAGGAGCGAATGTGCGAGCGGACTGAGTGAAAATCGAAAAATGTGGCACATGGTCGAAATACTGAAAACCATCATATTTTGCTCAGGGACACCTTGTAGTGAACTTAGAAACGTGGTGAGGTCTTTTTTTCCTCAGAGCTGCCTCTTTATTCTAGAAAATGCACGGAAACTGAAACGAGCGTCGATAGCCCTAAACTAGCAGAAATCATTCCTCAAGTAGAGGCAAATAAACTTTGCCAGGAAAAGCGTAGAGCAAGTTCGTATTAATTTGATAAATTTGTATCAGGACCATTTCATTTAAGTTTGAGTTCAAGGAACGTTCCCCATGCGGTATAACTCAGATTCGGTTCAGGTTAAGCTCAGGATAAGTGGAAATAGTGTTGTTTTTGCAGAATAGAAAAACTAGGTCTGGGCTTTCCATGTCTACACGGAAAAACCAGGTTGCAGTTTGAGAAAATCGCAACATCGTCATTTACATCACTTCATAATCTAATTAGGCAGCCGTGGTTAAATTTGGAATTTCAAATTTTAGCTGTACGCACCATGTTAGATCAGCAAATGAATACAGTAAGCCAACCTTGCCTGGTTAATGACAGCAGTTTGGTTTTTATCCTTGATTTCGTTTCAAATTCTCATCCATTTCCAATGCCGGATTTTGTTTTGAATAACGCATTTCGTAAGCTAGCGGAGGGTGTCTGTTTTTCTTTGCACATTCGAACAACATTTAAGTTTTAAGAGTCGAAATGAATTCTTCCGAGTCTTTCCACCGATTAAGGGAATATCTTTATTTCATTTTTCAAAACAAACTTTTAAACTTTTGTGATTTCTCTTACTACTCCCGGTAATTAATATTTTCATTTGGTAAATAACGCAGAACTAATGATTTTATCTTTTTGCTAAATTTTACCATTGTGTGCCCTACTTGGTTATTTATTAGCAGTTGCATCGAAGTGAATACTGTATCGATGCGTCCTTGGATTCTTTGATTTTGCGTCTAAATTCTTCCTCTCGTGATGCATGAGGGAGATTTCCAGATGCCTGATGCAGCGCGGTTTTTCTTGCGTTCAGCAAAGTGAATCAAAGGACATATTTTCCTTTAATAATCTTTATTCTGATTTGAAGGAAAAGTTGGCCAGTTGTACAATCATCGAAGCCGCTTTTGGCTTTTTGTCTGATGTATTCCTCGCAGCATTGGTTACGATTTGCTGCAAATTCGGGGGTTGTAAAAATCGTCAATTTCGATTAATGTTACTTTAAAATATCTCGGTCTTTTTTTCAAAATGCGGATGTTTTTTAAGTATATCACCTGAACAGCGGTGCGTTTGAGTTATTCAGTCATAATTGCAACTGCCCTGCTGATGAGGCAGTATTCATGTATTAGCTGCTGACTAGAGTAACCTGCATAACAAGTTGTTTACGAAATTTTAATGAAACTGAAGAAAGCGGCAGATGAAGGTGGACCTATTCATACAGTTGCGACACGTAATTTCTGAAAAGTATTTCCTTTCAGAATCTTTTTAAAGCCCAAAAACGTGACTCCTGCGGGCTTTAAAGAGTCGTCGTTGCTGAAGCTGTCATTTGGCAGCATAAGCGGAAGAGGTCAATGTTGTGTGTTAAAGTTTTGATGCCGGATTTATTAAGTTACTGAAATATCTGAATCATCATTAAAGATTTTTCACAAGAGAAGAAAATCTATATGTACCCTAATATTTGTTATATTTGGACTGTCACTTCAAATGTTGTACTACAACTCCTGACGTATCAAGTATCTGATGTAGCCTCTGGGTCATATCAACTGATTAGTGAATTTATTTCAAGTCACATGAACTTCTATGAAATGAGGGCCTCTATCAGTCATCAAAATCAGGCTAAATTGTATGAAATTATTATTTCTATTTGGCTTCTGTGATAGCATGTACCCAATTAATCAGCCACACACCAGGATGACACGAGAGAAAGGGAAAAGTGGATTTCGTAATCTGCGAAGCACAATACCAAAACAAGTTGGTAACGTGATTACTTCATTACACAGCCAGAAAGGTCAACATGTGACAGCATCCTTGATGGTTGAATCGAGAAACAAACATAAGCAAATAAAGTCACATTTTTAAACAAACAGATCGACAAACATGGAGACCAAAGTGGCTAAGAACACGATCGTTCTCCCTAATGGCTTTTCATTCCATTTGATTCTTACGTTAGGTTTTCTTGGTTTTACGTGTTATTCCTTGCACCGACTGGATACGCGCCTGGCAGCTGTTGAGCAGAATTGCCAGCTAACAAGTCCTCCAAATCAGGTCCTCGACAACGAAATTGTTAAACCGATATCTACACACTCGGAGGAAACGAAGAAACAAATCTTCAAAAGGGATGTTTCTAGCTCATCCATATGTGACAAGTGTAAAAGTTTTTGTTTTAACTCGAAAGGGCACCGGCGAAATGTAAGTTGTTTTTTGATTACACAACACACTAAAAAAATTTACATGGAACGAGCAAATACTTACTTTCCAGAAGCACTAAAAAAACCTTTTGGTACTTTGGTATTTTCTTTTCTATCGCAAAGAATGAACAAGCAACAGTCATAACTCTTCTATCTTTTTTTTTCTTTTCCATCTTTGGAACTCGTTTTTGTTCCCTTAACAATGCGAATGCGTGCTTTCCTTCAGGTAGGTAGAGAGCACACTTTATTTTGAAACCAGCTCTGATGTTTCAGTTTTCGTGAGCTGTCTTACGCCCTGTCGCTCCCCAGTAGATATAAAAACCCATTTGTGCCGCTTAAGCTTTAAACGATAATTTGAACGATAAAATCTCAGTATCGATTCATTGATCTTGTATTCATGTTGAAAGGTAGCAAAGTTTCTCTGTGCATGTTTTTATTTTGATTCCATAACCTTTTGATTACCTCAGTGCAGACTTTTCCAAAAAATTTTTCACTATCTCGTCTCATCTGAACGCAGTATCATTTTCCTCAATCAACAGAATGTGACAGTGAAACAAGGTCAGGAGAAGATACTTTGCATGGAAGGTGAGACTAATTCTTCTAAATGTACTACCGGAAATCGTACGCCTGGGCCCATGTTGCACATTTTTCGCCCTCATAACAGTCCAGGCCACAATAAATTTTTTCAATAATCTAGAGATAATGTTTGGAATATTTCCCACAATTTACTTTTTTCAATAAAATCGTATGACAATTTTCTTATCGCAGGAATAAGAAAAGTTTACAAGTAATGCTTAACACAGAAGATAGTCTTTCCTGATGTAACTCATGCTATTCCTGTTTATTTGGTTTTATCAACTAAGGAAATAATGTAAATTGGCCAACGTAAAGAGTTTAAAAGCTGACGTTTCGAGCGTTAGTCCTTCGTCAGGGCGGATGGAGAATTGTGGGTTGTGTGCAGACAGTGGAGCTACGCTATTGGAGGGAACAGAATGAAAGCGTTTGTTGATACCTATGGGATAAAGAATGCCGATTTAAAGGATAACCTTCTGTTCAAGAGTTTAGGGGCTTTCCGAGCTACCCAAATGTAAGGAAAGGCCGAATTTACTTTAAATCTGTGCTCAAAATGCTACTGGATTTGAAACTGGCAAGATATTATCAATTCAATTCAATTCAATTCAATTCAACAGGTCGCCGCGTTTCCCAAGGTCCTCCGGGTCCTCCTGGCTCACCTGGTCCCCAAGGCCCTCCCGGTTTACCTGGTCCTAAGGGCCCTCCCGGTAAAAGAGGAAGAAAAGGAACAAAAGGGCCACCAGGTCCTCCAGGGAGACGGGGCACTATGAGATTGTCAGGTCCCCCTGGGAAATTATCCCTCCAAACAAAACGCAATGGCAGGCCTCAGTTAGGTAAGATAGCGTGATTTGCATAAAAACCAAGACATCTTTTAAAACACTTGACCGGTGAACAGGCAACTCAGCGTTTAAGCTAAATTTGGAAGGAATGTCAGACTGAGATCATTTCCATCCATGAGATCTTTCCTCATGTTGCAGCGAACATTGTCACGCCAATGCGAAATGTATTAAAAGTCGCTTGTTTGTTTGCTTTTTAGAATTACCGCGCATCGTAACTGAGCCTTATTCTGTGACGATTCTAGAAACCCAAAATGTCACGTTACCTTGTAAAGCAGTTGGATTCCCTAAACCTATCATTACCTGGTACAAAAATGGTCACGTACTGAAGGAGAAAGAGGAGAAAAGAGTAAAGCTGAAAAAAGGAAATTTACACATTAAAGAAATTCAGTTTAAAGACCGCGGTATCTATACTTGTACCGCGGAGAATCTGCTGAGTAAAGTCCATTTAACCGTCAATGTTACCGTGAAAGGTATGTATAACAGTACGTTTTCAAAAAGAAATTCCAACCATGGTGAGCCCCGAGACACTGACAAATCACGCTAATTTAGATAACGCAGTTCAATAATTGATATATCCTTCCATTTTCTTGTTTATTTTTCCTTAATTATTTTGTTAAAATGACAACTAGGCTTACCTCATTGACTATTCTAGAGATGCAGATGCTTTGTCAATAAAAGTCAGAGGCTCTTAGTATCGGAGCCAACTGCTGAGATCAGTGACGTTACGCCTTTGATTGTCTTCCTTTACATTTTTATGCAGTACCAACAAAGTTCTTGACACATCCACCGAAATCCGTAGTCACTTACAAGACGTGGGATACCGTACTTGAATGTGACATCTTTGGTCACCCCTCCCCTGAGGTAAAATGGACACGGACTCTAAGCACACTTCCTGTCAACCGACATGTTATTTCTGGCAACAAGCTGACGATTCAAAACACGACAGGGTCAGATGATGGTGCCTATCTTTGTCAAGGTGTAAACCCATTTAATAGTGTGATAGGAGTGATATGGGTCGTTGTGAGGGATTCGGGTAAGTTCCAAAAAAGTCATAAATCATGAAGAATCATTGCGGACGTCTAGGGAACCAAACCTCCATTTTCAATCACAAGTTATAAATAACTTAGTTAAAATCCACATATCCCACCTAACTCTTGTCTGTCCCATTAAGTTCTCTTGCATAAAATAGTTCAGGACGAAGTTGCCTCAAAAACTAATCAATTTCTAACGAGAGCCTGACGCTTGACAGACTGCTTTTAATTTTTCCCTTTTATTCGCCTAAATTTGATAACATTGAATCGCTTTCCAATGAAGAAGAGCATAAATTCTCCTCTAGTAAATTCTCTTTTAGTGCTCAAACAGCTCAAATGAATTTTTTTTCCTTATAGTAACTCCTAATATAGTATCAAGTCCTGCAAGTAAGATTCTAGTGCAACATGTCGGTGACTCTGTCAGTCTGAGCTGCTCTGCCGGTGGCTCTCCACTCCCTAAAGTCAAATGGTTTAAGGAAGGAAGACCTATTACGACTACAACAGTCCTTGACGGGAATGGGGTAACTGAAAGTGAACTCGTTATTCATGGTTTCCAGCCGAGTGACGCTGGGAAATACGCGTGTCTGTTTTATAACGACAAGAATGATACAGCAGAAGCTACCACAAGTATTGGTAAGCACATCATTCATCTAAAATCCTTTTCCCGTGCTACACACGGTAGCAACCCTTGTAGTAGCCCTTTTGAAGACTCTTAGGTAAGGTAAATGTTTTACCGATGCCCTCCACGTAAGGAATAGCATTGTCTTAATCGTAATGCGCCCTTCCACAGTTTCACGTGATTTCCGGCGGACTCAATCCTGAACTGTACTTACACAATCACGTCGATCCTAAAACACCGATGACGAGTCGTTAACAAACATCTGCTGGGCTTTCGTCTCCCATTAGCTCGTTGTGAGCGTACGATTAGAAGCCTAACTCAGCATCTTCCGTCATCCTTTGAAACCTTAAGTAAAAGAGAGATCTTGGAACATCTTTGATAATTTGTTCTATTATTGTGTCTTTTAGCTTTAGTTGACTGTGGCAATCCTGGTTCTCCACGTAATGGAAAAAAACATGGCTCATACTACTGGTCTGGGGAATCTGTGTCTTTCATATGCATGCCGGGATATCAGCTGATTGGACCGTCCTCGAGAAAATGTTTGTCATCTGGTCAATGGAGTGGAACACAGCCATCGTGTAGGTGACATTTTTTTTTTTTTATATACTGTTTGTAATTACATAGTAATACATCGTTTGTTATATGCGATTACGAGGTTTGCAGTTTCCTTCTCTTGCAGGAACAATAAGCGTTTTTCACAAGGTTAAAAGACCGGAGAGAATACTAAACATAAAATCTTACTTAGTTGGATTAAGCGTTTTTGATTCTTAACTGAGTTTGAAGTATCTTTTCCCGCGCGAAGCAAAAATGTTTGGTAACAGATGCGACTACATTTCGTAAACAATAGTAGTTCATATATCATCACGATAAATATAAAAACAGCAAAAAACATACTACCAGGATCACAAAAGGCTTGACCTTGCCAATTCGCTGGTGTGGTTTCCATAAAGTGACAGAGGCTCCAACGGGACCATAACCAGAATACTGATACCTTCGCTTTCCACATTAAGGCCATAGAATTTGTCCACCATTGGGGAAACTGGTGAACGGTCATAATCACGGGCAGCGAAATTTGGAAGGGGACTACATCTCATTCAGCTGTAAACCTGGACACAAGTTAAAGGGATCACCAGAGCGTCAATGTTTGAGCAGCGGTACATGGTCAGGAGTGCAGCCCACTTGTGAAGCTGGTAAGACTCCTATATTATAAATAGTTTGACTTTGTATTTGTGGGTGGAAGATCCGCAGATTAAAACTCGTTATCGCATCACCATTTTTGACTAGGAAAGTTTTAAACATTTAATGCTAAGAGTTGAAGAACTACATATTCTTGATCAATAGAGGGAAATGCAACTGATTTTAGAATGACTTGACACCGACAAGTTATGTTCCCTAACTCTTAAATACGTCGTTGTTTCAGCCGAAAAACGCAAAATCGCATGCTTCCCTGAAATCTAAGTACTGAGGTCAAAGGTCGTTTTAAAAAGCATTCTTAACAGCTCACTCCCAACTTCAAAGCCTTCCTTAGCTCAGGGCTTAAAATAGCAACTGTCGTTATACGATACAATAAAAATAACAACTTCCATCACTGCGTCTTGCAGCCACAGTTAATTGCGGCAATCCTGGATCTCCACGCAATGGACAAAAGCATGGCTCACTCTACTGGCCTGGGGAATCTGTGTCCTTCACATGCATGCCGGGATATCGACTGAGTGGACCGTCCTCGAGAATATGTTTACCCTCTGGTCAGTGGAGTGGAGTACAGTCCTCGTGTAGGTGACGTTACTCTGTCCATGTAAAGTTTCTCGTGCTTGGAAACCCTCATGAAACCCTCGTATTTGTTTTGGAAATAGTACTTAACAGTGAGAACTTTTAATAATATTCCAGAAAATCAAAATCTTATGACCAATGTCATAAAACCGCCTTTCAAGTTTGGATTAGCGATATTCTGCTGTCATAGAATAAATGAAGGGTTAACTTTATTTCTAAAAGTCACACCAGCAGTGAAAATTCTGAGTATTCAACCTTACTCTAATTAGGTATTTTTGATGGTGAGCTACATTTAGAGGATCTTTTCCCGCGCGGGGCATAAGTATATGAAGAATGATAAACACAGTGGTCTCCATTTTTCTTGATAATGACATGTTCGTATCTAGGTACTTGTTCCTAGGAGATCACAGTCTTCTTGGGCTTTGCTCTCAGAAAACTGCTCACTTCTCAGAGCAAATAGTATCCAAAGACAAATATTCAGGCATATTTTCAGCAAATAGCAAATAACCTTATAATAAAAAAAGAGCTCTCACCACTTCTCTCGTGTGATTAAATGGACCACAACAATACTAATATCTTCAATTTGCACTTAAAGGCCTCAGACTTTGTCCACCATTGATGAAACTCGTTAACGGTTTTACGAAAGGGCAGCAAAACTGGGCAGGAGAACATATTTCATTTAGCTGTAAGCCTGGTTACAAGTTAAAGGGATCATCAGAACGTCAATGTTTGAGCAGTGGTACATGGACAGGAGTGCAGCCCACTTGTGAAGCTGGTAAGACTAGAATGTAAAGAGTTTCACTTCTTGTTTGGCTGTAAATCAAATGTTTATTGTATCAACAATTTGACTAGGAACGTATTATCCTCAAAATTTGATTTTGAAAGTTGAACTAGATGTTCTCGGTCAGTGGAGGGACTTGCATTTTACAAAATTAGTAGACAGTGAGAAAATTTGTTTCCTTCCTTGTATAACTAACCCTTCGTTCTTGGAACAGAAAATCCAAAAACATCAATACTCCACGGAAAATCTCAATATTCTCGGGTAATACAAATTTGTTCTAGTAAAACACAAAACTCAGCAATAAGACTACCGAAATGAAACGAGACGAAACTTAAAAATACCTTACTCTCTTAAACAAACATAGAACGGAGCCTGAAGAACTTTTATCAGCAATTCTTACTGGCTATATCTAAGCTGAATAAAGGCTGATAGTTTCGAAAGAAACTTCAACTTTGCTGATATATCCAAATTATATCTAAGCTGATTTTGAAAAGCAATGTGAGTACGTCGCTCCTAACTACGAGCGCCTATTTTTCTGAGGGCTTAATATTGGAACTGTAGTTTTACAATACAATAAAAAATAACTTCTATTCCCGCGTCTTACAGCTAAAGCTAATTGCGGCCATCCTGGATCTCCACACAATGGACAAAAGCATGGCTCCAATTACTGGTCTGGGGAAGCTGTGTCCTTTACATGCATGCCGGGATATCGATTGACTGGACCGTCCTCGAGAATATGTTTATCTTCTGGTCAGTGGACTGGAACACGACCCTCGTGTAAGTAACATATTTTTGCCTTAAGTAAAGAGTTTATTTCAATTCATTTTCTGAAAAACAGCCAATTTACGTTATGTTACATCCTTTGTGACCTATTACCAAGAGGTTTCTCGACGAATCCGAACGAATGAATTGCCAAATTTGTGAATTAGCATTCATGCCTTTTTATTTTGATCTTCAATTATTGCTTTCTCAAGCAACAAACATACTGTGCAGATCTAATTTACAATTGGAAACCAGGCAGACGCAGTAATAAAGTCGGTAGCCTCCATCTGGCGCGAAGACAGCCCTGAAGGTGCACGGTAACCTTAAGGAAAATAACCATGAAGATGAAGATGACGTCTCTGCTGACGTCCCATCTCAACCTTACTACACTGTTAAGCGCGACTGAATATATCCACATAGAAGTCTGCGCTATATAAATGTAAATATATAAATATGTAATTTTCTCTCCGAAGTTCACACTTTTCCGCGAGCCTCCCTCGCGGAAAACTGTTTATTTCTCCCATTGGCCTGTTTGTATTGTCCTCCACCTGTTTAGAACGGTCACTTAAGGCGTAACCACAAAAAATAAAACAAAGAATTGCCTCTTGAGTCAAATTTTTTTTTATCTCGCGGAATCAATGTTAGCACCTTCTGTTCAAATGTCCACAACGCATTGCAGATTATCTTTCTTTTTTGGACTGTTGGGACAGATGTTACACACGAATAACACGCAAGTTTTTTCCTGGTCAACCTGTGGGTGACCGCTTGATACAGGTTCTACTGTGATTGATATTTTAGCATCATTAACATACTGTGCAGATTTGATTTACATCTAGAAACCAGGCAGATGTTTTAATACACACAACAGCTTCCATTTGGAGCAAAAATAGTTATATATGGTTATTTTCCTTAGGGTTACCTTGCACCTTCAGGAGTGTCTCGCGTGCAAGCGATGTAGCGCGTCCGGTTTAAAATGTAGATATCTAAACCCCTATATCAAATTAAAGCTTATAGGACTGGCTCTCAGACTATACCAAAAATTTTGAAAAAAAATTAATTGTCGAATTTTTCACGACTTCTAAATGCGAGCGCCCGAATCACCTTTTGAACGTTACATGTTAAAGCGAATTTTGTTTGTCTCTTATTTAACTCTTTACCGTCCGGCAAAAAACCTTATAATTTGGCCATACAAAACTTAAGCTAACTTTGTTTGTCTTTATATGAATTATCCCTTACAATATTTGCAGTTTTGAGTTACCGTGGGCTCAGACTTTGGAGTCACGTGACCTAGATTCCCCGCCCGTGTTTGGATGCGTTCAAATCGATTAGTTTTCTCGCGTTTATAAGTGTTTTTCGAGCCATTTACCTTCTACAGAAGCCCTCAGGACAGCATCATTAAGCTGGAATGTGGGTAGAGGCAAGCCTCTGAGAGAAAACAGAGGTGAGAGGTGGTTTCATATAGACTGGACCGCCAGAATGCTTTTATGCAAGCTTGGCGATGTCACAAGTGAAGTCGTGTCTCTGGCCCATCTGTGCATGGTTACTAGGACCTACCAAGGCTTTTTGGGCCAGTTTTGAGTGGCAAAAGTCTCGATCGATGTGATATTTTGTTGGTAGGATTGGGTGGCCCGACACGATTCTAATAACTTACTAAAGTGGAAATGTGAGGTGTTGCCTTCTCCAGTTGTGGTGGAATTTCCCAGAATTCTTTTCGGTCAAAAACGAGGCAAAGGTTGTGTTTGCAACACTAGCTTTCGTCGAAAGGAGGAACAAGGGCTAGCGGATAAAGTGAGAAGGCATCTTCCAGCCAAACAGAAAGATCTGGCCCTGAGGTGTGTTTTGAATGCAAAATTTTGATTTCTTGAGCAAGTTTTGATCTTGAAAGAACGGTTCACTGCAATGGAAATCGGGAATCATTGTGGGTGTTTTAGGCTGCAATAAGTGTCACATCAAACAGCCCTGCAATGTACACACTTACATAATGTTGTCTCTTAATTTCAACAAGAAACAAATAACAACAGTTATGGGTCTTATTTGCCCAATGTGTGCTTAGATTGCCCAATGTACAAAAATCGCTCTTGAAAAAAATAAGTATTTAGAAATAAAAAATTCGGAGACACCTTTTTGTTGTTTATATGTAATAATTAGCTACTGTCAAAATTTGAGAGCAATCGAACGAACTCCCTTTGACTTGTAGCTCTTAAAAGGTGATTCGGGCGCTCGCATTTAGAATTCGTGAAAAATTTCGACGATTCATTTTCTTTCAAAATTTTTGGTATAGTCTGAGAGCCAGTCCTATAAGCTTTAATTTGATATAGGGGTTTAGATATCTACATTTTAAACCGGACGCGCTACATCGCTTGCACGCGAGACACCCCTGAAGGTGTACGGTAACGTTAATACATTATGTTTTCCACAAAGCTCACAATCCTCCAGGAGCCTCCCCCTCGGCAAAATGTTCGCTTCTCGCAACAGATAAGACATCCAGAGACTTTTTCATGATCTGTGAGAAGCCATGCACGATAACACAAATATTTTTCCTTTTTAAGGTAGCAAACTTTGTCCACCATTAAGAAAACCGGTGAACGGTTTTATTCATGGGCAGCAAAACTGGGAAGGTGAACACATCTCATTCAGTTGTAAGCCAGGTTACTGGCTAAATGGATCATCAGAACGTCAATGTTTGAGCAGTGGTGCATGGACAGGAGTGCAGCCCACTTGTGAATATGGTAAGAGTTCTAACCTGTAACGCAATCTCGTTTATTTATCGGCTGCGGTCGGTTTTAGTAAAAGGTGACCCTATATTCTACTGAAGGCATATGAATCTGACCCAGCATGCACTGGGAAAAACATTTTCAACTGTTGACTCAGAATGATAACAGTAAGCAGAAATCTAAGTTATTACGTTTCATTTACCAAAGCTCCAAGTTTCTTTGTAGATTCAGAAGGTGTCATATAAATCAGCGAAATCCCTCACTCTTCGCAATTTAAAATGACAATTTTGGGCGTTTATACGAAGAAATTTCTGGTTTGCTTTTCAACATACATTTTTCAGCTTCCCAGGCACGGATCCAGGGGAGGTGGGTTGGGTGGGATATTGGGCGCACTTAATTTGGAGCCTCGCTCTGTTGTGCGACCCTCACCACACTCTTGTGAAAGTGATTAAATGAAGTCCCGTTTCAGCCACGAAATGCGAGGTCATTATGAGCTGTGTGCCTTCGTGCCAGAGGTAATCAGCAAAAAAGATGAAAACGCTGTAACTAGCCTTCTCAATGTTCTGAAAGAGAAATGGGAGCATATTCTTCCGCTTCCTGCGGCGTTTGAAAGAGAGCTGTTTCGCTGGTCGAATCATTGAAAGAGGCAAGAAGCTATGTTAGATAAATCCGTTGCATCCATTATAGCTAGCCACGCAGATGGTATTTTCTTCCCCAATATACGTGAGCTGCTTAAGATTCTAGCTGTCTTACCAATTGGAAGCACCAAGGCCGAAAGGTCATTCTCCTGTCTTCGCAGACTCCACACCTGGCTGAGATCGACAATGACCACTGACAGACTCTCTGATTTGTCCGTCATCACCATGCATGGTAACACGATGGTTGCTCTTCTGACAGACAGCATTTGCCGAGCATTTATGGAACTCCATCCAAGAAAGATGATGGAACCATCACTTTTAGGGCAGTAAATATCGTAGAGGACATTGGTGGGTAATCTATTCGTGATTGCATATTTTTCAGGAATCAATGTACAAACGGTAAACTCTCATTGTTCTTGATAAAGACTAGCAACAATTCGATTGCAGCAAGGCACCAAAAGCTATTTACTATTTCGACAAGAAATTAGTCGTCCCGGTTTAGAAATCCGCAATGAATTTACAAATCTAAAATAATATAATTGGCATTTGCGTTCGCCTAAAATTCGAAAATGTTAATTATTCATCGGAAATCAATGATGCTGATGCACAGACCTCAAACACCTCAACCAGGCTTTGGGTCTATCAAATTATTACAAAAATTCACCCGGCCCCATTTCAATATCCTGGATCCGCGCCTGCTCCCTGTTCAGAAGCCTAGCTTTTCATGAACTGAATCTGAATTGGCCTCCAAATCTACCACCTCGTTTTCGGGATGTCAGATCGAAGGCTTTTGAAGTAAAAAGCATCGGAAGGCCAAAGTTCGATCTCAGTTGGAACGACAGGCCATTTAGATGTCGGCTCCTTATCTCCATGAGTTGCATGTTAAGAACAGGTCTCTAAAAGAATCAAACATCTTGGGAAATGAAAATTTTTCAACCCCCCTTCAAATTTTGCATGCAGTGAGGCACTCAGGAGGGATGCACAAAAATGCCCTTTTTAAAGGTTGCAGCACTCTTGTTACCACGATAACAACGGCTGCTTGTTCGAGGCCTGGAGCCTCATTTTCATACAAAAACATCTCAAAAATTGAGTAAAATGTTTATTTGTCTATCTTAAGCTAAATACAACATTACAGGTTGGTATATCTACCATTTATAGCGACACCATTTGTCTTTACTTTGATGCATTCAATTTTCTCTGGGAGTAAATGTGAACACACCAATAGATTATTTATCTCAGTACAGTTTGGCTCATTTTTGATGTAGGGTAAAACCGGGAAAACGTTTATCTAAATTTCTCCAAATATGCCCCGATTCTGGATCTGAAACTACCCACCTAGTTGGTTATAGTATTCTAGCTTTTAAATATGTTAAAATCTCTGCGGGCCGGCCCCTGCTTTTCATACGGGCAGTTCGCGAACGAAGCTCAAAAATCAGATATTGCATAATTTGGTGATGTTCACATCTAATGTTCTCAACAACATACGTCTCAAACAAATGAAACGTGCAAGGCTTGGAAAGAATGTTATCTTATGAACAATATTATGACGCTCACTAATTTTTATTAAGCTTGCACATCAGTCCACCAACGAAAATTCTGTTCATCGAGTGGTTTTGCCTTTTAAAGATCAAAAGTTAGCTGATGCAGTGAAGAAACAATTATCAGATCAAAACCACCCATAATTAGCCAACAATGCGTTGTGTACAGTTATAATTGTGATCTGTGTGATGCAGAGTATGTCGGCTACACCAGGCGACATTTACACCAACGTATTGACGAACACCGTTATTCAGCAATCGGCAAGCACTTAAAGAACGACCACGCCTGGAAACCATCAGCGACTTTACCAACAACTGTCTTAAAGAAGTGTAACGGAAAACTGGACTGTCTGATTTATGAAATGTTATTCATAAAGAAGCTTAAGAAAAGGCCATGCTTGAAGTAATATTTCAGAAACGAGTGCGAGTGTTTCATCGGGGTTTCCAAACACGAGAAAACTGATGAAAGCACGAGGCCGTGGGCAGAGTGCTTTTATTGTTTTCGAGTGTTTGAAAAACCCGATGAAACACGAAGTACGAGTTTTTGAAATTGCTTCTCAATCGTGCATCATTAGCCAAGAAAAATGAAAAAATTCTGACTAATTTTGGCATCGTACGCGGAATTGGGGTTTGACATTCTATTAACCTATAGGGTTTGATATTTCATCAAAGTATAGTGGAAAAGCCTCTGTCTACTGTTTCAGCGGGGTTTCTTAGCACACACATTGGCGTATCGTGATTGGTTTGTAACTTGATGAATTATTAAGGAGTTTGAAAACATACAATCAGACTACATACGCGCAAAACTATTTATTTAAATTTATTTAAATTTGTCACTTTTTACATGCATACTTCACGTTTTAACGCCTTGCACGGTATATATTAAGTTTTCAAAATTTTATTCTCTTTTCACTAGAAAATGATGACATAGCGCCATCGAAACGTAGTGTAAAACTTCTTTCTCTTATTTTTATCATTAGATGTTCAACTAAGTGTAATCTTATTCACATACCAATCATATACGAAAGAGCTTCAGATACCTGCACGTTAATCACATGAGACTAATTACTTAGTTACCTAGTTACTAATCAGGAAGAGTTAGAAGCTCGACTTTTCGTGAGAGCACTAAGAAGATATTCAGCTTTTTTTTTTGCGTCCCTCATTGTACATTTGGAAAACACGAACTTTCAGCCGTTTAATCACTCGGCCTAAAGTGTACTGTATGTCGGAGAATACAAAGGTCCGATTTAGATCATACTTCGTATGATGAAACATTCTGATTAGTTTCGCAGTGGTTTTTATGCAAGTCCCTTTTAGGAGTGAAGGAGGTGTTGACTGAAGCGGATGGAACGATTGGAGAATGGTAAAGGAACGGCCGTTTTAATTTGTTTCCTCGCTAGGCTAATTAACTTATAACCTCCAGGAAAACATAGTTAAGTAAAAGGATTGCATTTATTTCCAATTTTTTTTCACCCAAGCTACAGCGGACTATGCTTTGCTGTTCCCGCGGAAAGGAACCAGTGATTATGTCATCACAAGTGGAATGCCAAGCCTCACAGCAGTGACTGTTTGTTTCTGGTTACAAACTTCTGATCGAGGAAACGAGGGAGTACTGTTTAGCTATGCTGTTTCATCACAAGATAATGAATTGACTCTTTGGGACTACAGAGCTTTTAAGTTAACTGTGAACAACCAACTCAGGTACATTCTGTTTCCAATCTACCGAAAAAGTTAATTTTTACCTAAACGTGAATCTAAAAATGTAAAACATCCTGTTTGATAAATACAAATTTTGAACTTGTTTACCGGTACTTCTGTGTTTACATAGGATTAGGTAAATCAGTTAAATTGTTGACGATTTCCAAAGTAAAGAAAAAATAAAAAGCTGGTAGAAAATATGGCGGCTCTTCAGAAGCATAAAGAAACACTTTTCGGACGCGCGATACCTGAAAAAATTAACAACACCTGTTATACGGCAAAAAAATCGCAATCATCCTGAACCTCCTTGATTGAGAAAACAGTGCAGTTCGCTAAAATAGATCCATAATAGACTGCGACCAACCTATGACGTATGAAGCTAAAAAGGTCTTTTGTATTAGTCAGAGTCTCTTAACATTATTTCTCATTTGGAAAATGCAAACAAATAAATAAACAAAAATCAGGCAAGTAGTAGTAGTAGTAGTAGTAGTAGAAACTTTATTAAAGTGTCAAAAGAACCGTCTAGACAGGGAACGAATCCCTTAATAATTTGGGGACACCAAGTCCTTCCGATAGCATGCACGATACAAAGTAAAAAGAGCATATGGCACTAAGTTATACTTCAAAGAAGAAAATCAGTTATTTATTTTTTTACATATTAGGATCCTTTCCATATCTGCAAACGATGGAAAATGGCATCACATCTGCGTCACCTGGGAGAATACAGCTGGATCATGGAAACTGTTCAAAGATGGAAGAGTTGCGAGCTCGGGCACTGTTCTGAGTAAAGGTAGTCAGTTACCCTGTTTAATAGAGTAACTCAGTCATCTGTTAAGACTCCCGAACCAAGTACGGTATGATATTATATCACTCAACAATAATCTCCAACTAAATTTCTACTTTGATAATCTCATCGGAAAGATCTCAACGAGGCGAATATCTGACACCAAATTCAAATGATGCACCAATGGAAATAAATTGAACTATTTAGTTTTCTTAACTATTTAGTTTCAGTTTTTTTTCCATTTTTGCTGTTGTTAATGTTTTTTTGTCTGTTTTTTTTTTATAAAAAGTGAAATATGAATAAAAGCACAACGTATTTCAGTTTGCTTAAAAATTGTCGACATCGTTAACCAGTTACGGTGAAAACTTCTCATTGCCGGAAAGACTGACGTCATATTGGACAAAAACAGCTGAAAGATATTTTCGGTAGTAACTCATTATATTTCATTGTCTCCTCAGGCCACACGATACGGGGAGGTGGTTACTTGACACTAGGACAAGAACAAGACACAGTGGGAGGAGGTTTCGATGCTGGTCAAAGTTTTATCGGGAAACTGGCAGGTGTCAATATCTGGGATCACGTGCTTTCAAACCAAGAAATCACTCGCATGTCTCAGTCGTGTCAAGTAGGGGTGGGCGACGTGTTTCGGTGGAGCGAATTTCTTCCTCACATCAAAGGCTCAGTAAAATCTGTCCGCCTTTCCTGTTAAACAAATAAAGTCCGCACTGAAGATTTTTTCAAGTTCGCATCTCAATATGTAACTGTTTCATTTAGGAAATAGGCGTTGCCCTCGATGACAGATATATTTTAATTACACAACTCGTGATTGACATTAATTCCGTACAAGGATTTAAAAGTGTTAGCTTATCATATTTTAAACCAGCTTTCAGAGGAATCAGTAAGAGAGAGAAGTCGGTTTTTATAATCTGTTCGCTTACCCGAATCTGCTAACCTGAAGTGAGAAACCTGTTTTCACGACCCGCCACAGAAGTAAGTTTCCAACCATGTTTTCTTGAATTTTGCCACGAGATTAAGACTTAATTTGCGTTTTCTGATTTCGAATTAAATGTATTTCTCTTAGATCGAATAATTATTAAAGCTTGGTTAAAATTATACGGTTTGTGGTGGTCGTCTGAGCTGACCAGTTCCGAGTAAGGAAACAGTAACACCTTCGAATTGCACTTTTTACTATATATGAATTTCTTCGGTAACAATTCAGATGATCTTAATTTATTACCGTATGATTCTCCAAAGACTTTGAGGTTTTTCCAGCTATTAATACACCAGTGGTCGTATTCATAGAGCCTCTGGTTCTCTCCTAGATGGTTATACTCACATTTACAGGGACCCTGCGTACGCTGTGGTTCGAGCATTGTTCACTTCTGCGAACGTCATTTTCTCGATTTAAAGCCATGTACGACTGGCATGTTGAGTGCATATGCTATTTCCGACCTATTGAAAGTTTTCATACGTTAAGCTCTCTCGATGAAAATTTCGAGTCGGGAGCAAGCTTAGCGGACTGTTGCTCGTAGTTGCTCCAGTCTAGCTAGAGGATGTTAGCTCTTTGCCTCCGTAACCTGTGTATCCTACATGGCAAGCGCATACGCGAGCGAGAGCCAAATATTGTAATCGAGAGTAGAACCTCCTATATTTTACAACTGAGATCGGGGAAATTTGAGTGAACAAGTAAATGTATCACCCCTTGTTGGGTCCATTGATCTAGGTCCATGTCGATAAGTCTGCATGGGAGACAGATTCACATAGCGCGCGCAAAGTGACACAAGGTATTCTTTCCCGGTCCTCTTAGATTGGATGTCAGTCCATCACAGGGTTTCCTAGTAGTTCATCACCCAGCATCCATTTACACCCCCGCGTACAGAGAGCCATTATTGTTAGGGCGAAGTGTCTTCTACGAGAACACTCACGCTAGACCCAGGACCTCTCGATCTGAAGCTCAGTGTGCTAAGCACTGAGCCGGAATGTGTTGCACCTTGACAATAATTAATTTTGAGTTTGACTACCTTATTACATCGCCATTATCAAGCAGCTGTAATAATGTCAAACTTGCCACGCAGGAAAAAGAGAGCAGCTCGTCATGTCATGCTAACAACGGGCCTCGCAGTTTCCTTGCAATAATGATCATGTAATAGCGTGTGTGAACTGATTACTCTCCAGAAATGTAGATGAAATCGAGACAGACATGAAAGGAACAAATTAGGTTCAAATGATTCCCCACCAAAATTGACCCTACCTCCCCTTCTTCTAGTCACGGGAATGGTCCACTGATGTGCACACACTAGGATAAAAATTCATTCCATACATTTTCATTCGGGGCTAATAGGAAAAATTCAATCGTTTTTCCTTCATAAATATCTGGTAAAAAGAAGACAAATAGTATATCGCTGTTTGGGCGCAAGTTTCTCCTTTGTGTTTGTGGTTTCAACTCCCAGCTAATAATTTGCATTCTCTAAACAATGTGGAACTGATGGTATACTTTCCGAACTCTCCTCTTCTATTTGAATGGCCTCGAGTTCGGTCTGATCTTTCAATATCTCGGCTCACTACGCCTATATCATGATCTTACACACAAATAATTACCCATTATTTGATTGTAATTATTACTTTCAGCATGCTAGCAAACGTTTGTTTCGCGCCGCTGGTTATGATCTGTTTTTTTCTCTTTCCACTTGTAAACAAGTAAAAAACGCTCCTGATAACAACCTTAATTGTCTTTTAGGCAAAAGATTTAAAATTTTTTAATAAACCTATTTGGAAAATCACGAAACAAGTTCATGAAGGCCGATGATTAATATCTTTTACATTCCCTCGTATTGATAAGATTCATACCAAAAAGTTGGTAACTGTATTTGAAAGAACATAAAACAGGTCAAATATTTAGAGACTTGGTGCCTCCAATAGATTGTGGCGGTAGCTATATTTTGGCCACACAAAGACACTTGAAAATGACTGATCACCGACCTGTTTAAAATATTTGCGGGAAAGATTTTTGAAACCAATTATTTGCATCAGTAGACTTCATTTAAAAAGCGCGCCAACTGACAATTTCAAGTCACTCAACTGTTTGCCAGCAAGCTGAAAGCAATCTGACCCGCTAAGCTACTAAAAGCCAAAATTCTGTGGCTCAGGTTAGTTCATAGTTTTCCTGGTCTAGTAAATCTCATTTTCAAGTAATCAGTGAAAGAAACCGCACTACAGTATCGTGACGAAGACACCTATCTCTAACGATTATTAATCAATTTTAGACTGTAGTTCTCTCTTGCAAATCTGATGAATTGTGTTTCACTTACTTTATGACTAGGCGCCAAATGACATGTCATTCCATAAGCAATTTCAATCAAACTGTTTGCCTTTCTCAATGATATTTCTTCCTGAAAAATTAATTCTGCTATAGAGAAACTGGAGTTCTGCATTTGACGTTCCGCTATGTTCCTGTTAATTGTTCAAAAATTGAGCTGAGTTTATTTGAATTTTTCTTGGTCTACATTTGCCCTGACGAAAGCTAAAGCTCGCAAAGTCAGCTTAAAAACCTCTCTAGGGTGGCCGATTTACATTATCAACACAGCTCATAAAACCAAATTATTTTGTAATACCCTCAACAACGCAGCACCACATGTACACTTTCTTTCGAGACTTTCCTACTTATCCATATCACCAGTACCCTAACTAGTTCAACAGCAATTCCAGGGACTGAACATTAAAAATGTCCAAAACAGGAGACGCCTCAGGGATTGCAAGTAAGCAGATATGTGGATAATTTAACTTTCTTCACAGAAAATAACGATAAACGCAAAAGACGATATCTCTTCTTACTCCTCCTTAAGTCCACTTAAGTTCAAATTGTGTTTAATTTCATGCTAACATTGAAGTTGTATTGATGAAATTTTGAAGCGGTTCTAATAGTGTATAACTGAGTGGGTTAAGGAGGATTGCGCGCCAATTTTACAACTACTCAGCCGTGTAGTGCCGTGAAGCGGTTCTAATAGTGTATAACTGAGTGGGTTAAGGAAGATTGCGCGCCAATTTTACAACTACTCAGCCGTGTAGGGCAGGATACGCCTTGGTGCCCGTATATGCTTCTCAAAGCGACTGGCATTAAATCAATTTAAGTTAAGTTAAGAATAATGAAATGATAAGGATCTGGATAATCAAAGGCCTGAAAACCAAAATTCTCTTGTTTTTCTCGTTGCCATGTTCCCACCAATAACGTAGCTCCATTCTCTGCCTTTAAAGGCACACACAACCCACAATTCCTCTATTCGCTCCGACGAAGGGCTAACGCTCGAAACGTCAGCTTTTGTAATCGTTACGGTGGCCAATTTTCCACTTCAACTTTATTGATATATCCAAATTATTTCAAAATTCTCCATGTTGTTTTCGTTTGCCGGAACTTGAGTCACTTGAGGTTTCAGTTTGGCGTAATATTTTTGTTTGCTTGTTTGTTTTTTCAGAGGCTTTTATTTTAAGTCGTTCGAAGGATTCAAATGTGACTTCACATGATCTAAAGTGACGCAAAACCGAAAAATCTAGAATCCTACGTGTTAATCAATTGATTAGTGTATGTCGCTCTTGTGGGTTACGACAAATTGGAAATGTTGTGTAATTTCATTGTTATCTATGTGTATGGTCCGAAAAGTGACCGGATTGAGTGGATCGCAGTTTAAAGAATAATTTGTCGAGTGCGAGTAATTTAAACTTTTTGCATGCAGTTCTAAGGAAGTTTTGAACCGAAGGCCAAATTACCTAAATTGCTCGACAGTCAGTTCAGTGAATTTACTACTAATCGATTGTACTAATAACGTTAACAAGCCAAGGTTATGAAGTCCGCAAGAAACTGATCAAATCGTCAAAATCAGTTATGTATTCCAAGCTATTTTCAAACACCTGAAAAAAGTTTACAAGAACGCCTTTCATATCGTAAATGATATTTAGGGGCGAATAATAATTTACAAACCGCTGTATATTGGGCAGCTGTAATTAGACACTCGCGAGAACTCTCGCCAAATTGCGCTCAATGAACTCTTCAAATTCGATTAGAATAGAATAAACTTTATTTCAACAGGGTAGCACGTTAAATAAAAGCTGACGTTTCGAGCGTTAGCCCTTCGTCGGAGCGGATAGAGGAATTGTGGGTTGTGTGTGCTTTTAAAGGCAGAAAATGGAGCTACGTGATTGGTGGGAACAATGATGATCCTGTGGCCCTCTAAATAATCCCAACCCATCCCACCCCAGGGGAGGACATCCATCACACAGTAATCTCGTGCATGGGAAATTTTAAAACGTCTCCTACCCCTAACCCTGCAGGAGACGGGACCTTCATTTATTCGTCCCTATCCGAGAAGACTAGAATATCTAGCCATTTCTTGATGTTATAGAAAGGTAGCATATTCTTCTCAAATATTTTAAGACCTTGAGTGTTGGTCCGGCCGGGGCTCAAACCCTCGACCTCCCGCACAACAGTATCACGTATTGATGAGTTCTCGTATCAGCTCTAAAGATGTCCGTTCGAGAATCAAGATTTGAAGCTGTATCAAATGTACTCTAACCCTTCAAAACTTTATACTATCAAACTATCAAGCTCGGTCGTGCATTACTGGCTATTTTTTTCTTGAGCCATACGCACAACGATGAACCATTTCGATACTAAAAAATTATTGAAGGAGATCAAATTCATGGTATTGAGAACTACTACAAAACGGATATGTAATTTTAAAATGGTCAGAGTGAAACGCTATGTTTTGGAGTCGCAATATCATTGCGGTTCATCTATAGAAGACATAAGAGCGCCTGGGAAAATAACCCAGAAATAACAAATGCTTAATATCAAAAAAATAAAAAGCTCGGACACAACTTTTGCCTCTGGATCGGACACAAAACAATTTACAATGGAAATTTCAGGCTGTCTTCATCAAATTATTATAAATTGTTTTACTTATTCTGGCCTGGATTGTGGAGTATATTTTTAGAATGCGTTATAGGGTTACAGTTGTGAATGTAAAGATGCATTAAGATGTCGATGAGGTTGAGGTTTACAATCTACACCGGCTTGAAGTTCTAAACTTTGCAGCATTACGCTACGCCTCTTCCAGCATTCTTCTTCTCTACTACAAAGTCTATCTCATTTGTGAGTCTCCTCGTTTGAGTTCCATTTAGCCTATGTAGCCTGTTCTGCTCAATTCTGTGGCTTTTAAGAAAATTGAATGAACCTCAGGAAAAAAAAAAACCTAAGTCTGGAAAAAGTTGTTGTTGATATTGAGAGCTGTGATTTAGAGTCGTCGTTTTCAACCCTTCGATATAACTGTGTCTGAATAATAATTGACAATTTTTGATGACGCTCGGCTTAGCTCACGGTAACATGTGCCGCCTTAATACTGTGAATAGTTATTACAAATAAAGAGAACCTTTTAAAGAAGAAGTTGTAGATCGCATGCTCTAAAAAAATCATTTTTCTAGAAAGCGAAAAAACTTGAATAACAGGTATAGATTTGGAATCTCGGCAAGTCCTTTAGCCCTATCAAAATTCTCAAAGTACTTTATCATCAAAAATGGGGTTTGACACGATGAAGCCAAAAGACGTATTCAAAAAAATTGCGACACTCAGTACTCCTTCATGCGGATCCATACCATTTACACCGAGCACTGAAACAGGAAAAATTTTCAGGTTTCTCAACTTCCTTCGCCGTTTTACAAAGAACTTTTGGCTTTTTTTTTTTACAACATTGTCAACAGCAACAACAACAAAATCAGCCGGTATTCACACGTATATTTAGCATCTTAAACATGCAACAGACTCCCGATATCAAAAGTATCCGGCCGGTATTTGTTTCTTGAATTTGTCTCTTGAATTTGTTCTAAGAAATCTGGAAGAATTAGAGTCGGTATTGTTAAAGCATGAAATGTAGGAATGTAACCGTCGAACCCGGTTAAATCTGCAAACTGGTAAAATTGTCCATCCCTCGCTCATGAAAAATAGTTAAGAGACATCTTGAAATACTTCCACATAAAAATTGCTTCAAGAAATGAAAGCTACAGTGCGTGGTCCTTGAACTTTGGATAAAAAGGGTGGGACATGAAAACAGGCTTGGGCCAGTCGTGTTATTAATAGCATGATCTCCTCCCAATTTTGAGGTGTGTTCCAGTTTACGACATTCAAGAAATTCGGCGGAAATTCTGCGTGACTGATATAACCGTTTAACCTTTAATGGGTCTCTTTCGTTGTGAACTCAATATTCATTGATAAAATCATTGTGAATTGATGAGCAGGAATGAAAATAAAGACCCTTGCCATGGCCACTCTGTATTGATAAAAGTCATGAGAGAGTTTTATTTGCAGATCCTAGCTGCAAAATATTTACACACAGAAGCTTGTATCCCAGGTAAAATTAATGAACTGGCGTCCCGGATACTTCCACTTTAAAAAGAGCGTCAGCTTTGATTTTGGATATTACAAATGTCGGCGAGTATTCAAAATTCGAGTCGGAGTGGGGGTTTTTATTGGCGAACCCATCATCGCGTGTTGTATATCGAATGCCTTGAATAGAATGGACTGTGATAAAAAGGTGAGCAAACAAACCTCAGCCTTTACTTCAGCTGAGTAGAGCGAAGCAGGACGCAGTTAGAGAACTTCATCCACGCTCCATTCAAGCAGTAAGTTCCCTTTGTATGTTCTGAGTGTAAAATGCCCCGAAAATAATGTGTACTGATGACAGACCTAGAGTCCATTATCTGGGGTTTTATCGCCAGGCGCACCAGGTAAACATTTGTCAGTGCTTAGTGTACCTATTTTGTGATAGATGAGTCGGCTCTGATTTTTTTTTTCGGTCCCTTTACATTTTTATAAAAATAAAAATTGCTGTGAGTCTGCTCCTTTCCAGACCCTTTATATTTCTTTTATGATAAATTTTTATAAAAGTGCTCCATGTTTTTGCACTCTTTCCGGTTAAATAGAATAAGACAAAAACATTTCGGGACTTAAATCACCCACAGTGCGATGTGCTTATTCTAACATTTCGTCTTAAATCAAGGACTGAGCTTAAACCCAAATGTTTATGACGTATCCCATCGTCAAAATAACCGTTCAGGTTTTTCAATTATCCATTCTGCTTTCCTTCCAAAACTAGACGCTGAGTTTTGTAAGCTTGACAATTGATACACGAAATGTGAGATTTTTTCGACTATTGCAGCTGCAATTCAAACTTGCCAAAAAAAGACACTTCAGAGGGCTTCGCTTTTCCATTCATCGGTAAAGAATGATTTTAAAGCCTCAAGACCAAATCAAAGTCAGATACAAACGGGGTTGAAATTTTCATTTGAACTCTCCTGCTCCCTTTAAAGACACTGCAAACGATGAAAATAATCAGTGCACCATTGCAAATTCCTGATTTTTTTTTTTTTAATCCTGGTCTATCCCATCGCGCAAAGAAAGCGCGTTTGTTTTCACTAGTTGGGCTGTGACCACAGTGAGATAATGCTTCAAGAACTCTTAAAACTGAATAAATCAGTAATTATCCCGCTATCACATGTCTACTCAACAAGCATCCAATATCATTCGCTTCTCCTTACGAAAAGGGCATAAAATGGCGAAACCTAACTTAATATACATGTAAATGACAAAAAACATGTTGCAAACTGTCTTTGCAGCTTCCATTAGTTGGGATTTAAAAAGGAAATATATACTAACTATTCCGAGCTCGTTGCTACCAGAAGCTGAAATTTGAAAAAGCAAATATAAACCAGCAATTTCAGAGCACAAACCCCATAACAATGTATGCTCTTCAGATCTGTGTTTTCTCATTTTAGAAAAATTAATCAACTGCACAAAATGTACAATTAAAGTAAAGAAAAGCTGCCGTCAATTTGTTCAATGTGCTAAGCTGAAAAAATCTTTCTTTGTCTAACTTATCACGTACAGAGCAGGTCAGAGCATGCATTCTCAATGGGCTTTTGATTGAGTACCTACCTTACATCAAAATAACCTTTACACTTAAAGCAACTTTTATTCTTCATTTTGCAGTTGCATTCAAGCACCACACGATATGGCTACGATCAGAGTTTCGGTGTTTTTCCTGCTGATTGCTTTAAGCACAGCCGAGAGAATGGTAAGTTTTATCAAAGGTAACTCAGTATAACTTAGCTAACACTATACAATCATCATTTTTATTGTTTTAAACTTACATAAATACCCTGTAGTTTTCCTTCGTTCGGCATTGAAGTTTTTCAGGTTAATGCTTCTCCGTCGATATAGTCGACTTTTAAGAAGTATTTTTCAAAAAAGATAAGGTTAGAGGACTTTACAATCCCCATAAAGTGATATTTCTCAGTGTGGGAATCCCTCTTCCTAACAAAATATCATTCTTTCCCTCTTTGCAACGACCATGATTCTTTCGAACAAGAGCCGCAGACCTCGTCACGCCCACCGTGAGACCCAGAGAGCATAAAATACAGAAAATGAGAGCAGAATGATTAAAAATTTAGGGAATGAACGTCAGCCACACGATACTTCGGGGAAACTCTTTGATATAATTTACATTAATTTTTCTCGTATTACTGTGAAACGATCAGTTTTAAAATTTTAAAAGAAAAACCATCTGACCATGGAGAAATGATCACGAAGTACTTAAAAGAGACTGCATTGTACAAAGCATGAACATTTCATTTTTCCCAAGAAAGAGTGTGTTACCCAAAGCAAACGAATTCATTGAAAATAAGGGAATTACAGAATGAAACTGAGCGCTAAAAGGCGGGAACGAAAACATTGACATTATTTAATTCAGAGTATGAAGCGAAATTTCGATCCTCGTAGAATACAAATTTTGTTGCCTCTACATTTCTAATTCATTTTTGTTGTAATCCAACTTGTCAGTTCCCACAAAAAAGCTTTGCAAAGTGGAAAGCACTAAAAGGATTAAAGAGAAATGCAGGTAACATAAAACATATTTAGCCCTCCTATATAGGCTTACTTTGGTCGCCGTTGTAGAGGAGCAGTAGAGAGAAAAGTTAAGGATTATAAGAGATATTATAACATACCCAAAGAAGAGCGCGCGCTTTGATTGGTCAATTTAGCGTCCCCCATTTGCCCATGGGTGTACGCTGCTGACGTGAGCAAATGCAAAGACTATTTTTCCGCGCGCGCTTGTTTTTTCTGGTCACGTAAGATTTGTTAAATAAAAGGGAACACTTTAGCTACAATGTATCAATGTTATGTTATAAAACAAATGGTAAACACCACAGCGTACACTATTGAGTTATGGATCCACGCGGGAGGTTGCTAAGCACAAAAGAAGCGTAAGAGTTGCTGGAGGCGATAGCCATCCACTTAACCGAAATTATTCGAGGTACTCCTCACACCGTGAAGGGGGTCATACCGACACAGTATTTCTTCTTGTTTTTACTGCACCCACAAGTTAGCACACGCCTGTGATAAATGTCACTAATATAACAAAGTAGAGGCGATTTTAAATTTACGTGTGAAAAGTATCTAGTTGGTGACTTTAAGTTTCCAATTTATCGCCATAAAAAAATGGAAAATTTTTAATTTGATATATTCGGAGTTACACTGGTTTTTGAGCAATGCGCTCTGTGAATGATCTAAAAGAACAATCATTATTTCGCACTTGGGGGGAGGGGGATCTTAGAGGAATGAAATAGTTTTTCAGGGGGAACGGAGGGGTAGACAGTCGTTCCTAACAAAGCATAAAGTGAGGACCATAAAAAATTGACCATGTACAAGTTAAGACTATTGGAATACTAAAGAGCTTTAAGGAGGATCAGGCACTTTCATCAGAACACAAACCTCCTACCCCCGACCCCGGGTGAAAAATAACGACCGGACCCTGATCAAGTAGTTATTTGCAAACTAAACTAGTTACAGTTTGGTTACTATATGAGTCACATGACAAAATTGTTTTGAATCAATAGTCCTCAATGCGCCACCCGTATGCAAAAAAGCTATTGACCTTGGAATCACATTGGAGAAAAGGACCAAAGATGATTGGGGCCTGGAAAAGAATTTTATCGAGGCACTCATCAATAAGTTCCCTGTCAATCACGATATGACCCACATTGGTGTCATTGGGTTCGATCAGCGCACTGAGTTACTCTTTGATTTCAACAAACTGTTGTTGAGTGACAAGTACAAGGAAGACATATTGAAACAGCTCGAGTCCTGGGGCCCTGGGAATTTGAATGACACCACACGTGACAAAGTCATAGATCGAGCATTGGAATTTGCTGGTGAAAAATTGTTCACTGAAGCTGGTGGAGCTAGGGGATACGATCAGGTCTGTTTATAAGTCTGTATTGTTCTGTCATGAAATGTTTTTGTAATGAACGTCGGGGTCAATGTAAATCCTCAAGCTCGTTCCTAGGGCACTTCACCATTTCAGTGTTGGATAGCATCCTGGTAACGAAGTTGGTTTGGACTTCATCTGTCCTCAGTTATCGTTGATCTTGTTTAGTTTACTCTGATACAACATGATTAGGAACCAGACGATATTCATCACGGGGGGAGGGTCGGAGTATTTTGTAGGGATCACATGGTTTTCAGGGGGGAACAGTGGGGGAATCAGTCGTCGCGACAGAGTATAAAGGGCGGACAATAGAAAATTGACTGCAAATTAACTGCCAATGAGAAGGATCATAAGAATAATACAGAGACTTACACGATTTCATAAGTTCATCTCAAGTTCTATATTTCCTTCGTAGGTTCTAGTGCTTCTGACAGACGGCAAGCAAATTAATGAAAGTTTTCCACTTCATGACACTCCCGCAGCACCAGTCGCCCGTAGACTTGAACTGAAGGGCGTAAAAATCATTGTGGTCGGTATCGGCTTTCCAGATCCTGTAGAGCTTATGAAAATAGCTGGTGCTGATTCGGATAATATGGAAAAATTCCACAACATCTTTTACCTGGTAAATGAAAGCGTTCTTCAGACTGAGGTGGGAAAAGTGGCAAAGCGCATTTGTGAGCTATCTGCGCCCGACATTCATTCAGTTTGAGCCATTTGGCTCAGGCCAATCCTAATTAAAGCCTTGTAGTAGTGACAAGTTCTCCGATTTGATTCAGTTGCTGAAGAATCCAAACTTATACTGCAGTTTGTTAGCGATAAGTAGAACAGAAGACATCTTTTAATTTTAAAAAGTTTGCTTCGATGTTCTCGCTAGTTATAATCATTTAGTTCTGATGATATTCTCCTTACGTAAAGGTCGTTTCAATCACATTTATGTTGTTAGAGAAAATTCTCTTGTGTTAACAGTTTAAGTTCATAATACTGGCAAATAAATTATTTTTTGCCTGAATAGACTTACAGCTGTTTACTACATTTACTTATGTAGAATTTAAAAGCGCTCCAGGAGTGTCCAGTACAAAACTAAACATTACGGCAGGGTTGTCCAAAAAGTTATGAACAAGGGAACCCTGAGTCACTGGAAAGTTTTGGATATCTCTGCAGACATATTTTATATTTATGTTTTTCAATTCTTCAGTTTTGCCTTGGACTGAACTATAACCCCGAAAAGCGTTGACCAAAACATTCCCTTTTTTACACGTGGAATTAAAAAAAAAGTGGATACCCCAACTTTTCAATAGTCTTTCTCAGTGTATATTTTCCTTAGCCGAAAAATAAGCGTATTTGATTTTTTATTTCAACTTTTTACCCAATATTTTTCGGAAAAGGAACATATAGTGGTCATTCGCCTTTTTCATACTCGAGAAAGGGGGTAATAAATCAGACCAAGTGTGCCTGAATATTAAGTCAGTTTTCAGCAGAAAATCGAAATTTAAACTTTCTTCATTGTTCATTTTATTTGTGCATTCGTAATAAGATAAGTTTGTACATTTCTTTCCTTCTTACTGATATTCCACTGAGCACTAATACTCGCCGAAACGCAATCGCAACGAAGTTATATCCATGTTATATCCAATGAAACTAAACCTACAAACTTGAAACCGTGCACGAATCTTGGTCGAACTGAGAATGGAAATGTTTATGTAGTTGTTGAGAGAGGAAACCTTGGAGGTCCGATGAAAAACTATGGAATAACAACTATCCTCGACTCGTTTCCTTTCCTCACTTCCTCCATCGACACGAATCCACACTAACCCTCACTGATCTCTCGCATAGATTAAACAAGAATCAGTTCCAGCGTACCGTGTCTGCCCCACTTCCCTTCATCTGTATATTTCTTTCTTCGTCGCTGTGGAAATCAAATCAACTGTGTAGCAATAACAAGGAAATTGCAATTTTATTTCAATATGCGTCATAATTTTTGAATGGCTACTATGTCATAAAATGTGATTTTGCGATAAGGAGTGTTCCTGAAAAATACTTTGGCTTAAGTGAGTTACGTGAGAGCATACTGAGCTGCATTGAGTGCATCGGTTTAGTTACAGGTAATTCAAGCAATAATTTAATCTAAAATTCTTTTTTGAAAGATGTTTTTGGATAATGCTACAGTAACCTTAAAGTCAAACAATGAAGTCAGCTGATTGAGCAATAATTACGGATTTATTCTGTGCCATTTACAATGAGGGGAACAAAAAAGTGTAGAAGCATTGACCTCTCCGATAAGTTGCAGCGAAGTGTTATCAAAAGTGTTGTTTTTTCGTCAAAAACATTCCTATTGAGTGAAAAATTAAGGGATTGAAAAGCAAGGCTTCGATTCAGGCGTTATGGAGCATCGATTAGGAAATAGCTTTTTTTCTTCGGTTAAACAAAAGCGCGTTTACACAGATGTTTGTCGCTTTTTCAAAGCATTCTCCATTTCCTTTACGTTTAATGTGAAAGTAATTTATTCTAATGACAGGAACAAAAACATCTGACAGGTGGGGAGGGCAGCTTGATAGAAACCAACAACACTAACATATTCAATTGTGAAAAGCGACTTTGCAACTCAGGATCGGAAGAGCCTCTTTGGGAATTTCTTTATCCTACAAGAGGCCCTTCATAATGTATTTTGTCCGTTTCTCACGCGAACAGCACGTGGGTCGATGTTTTTGCAATCGTAGATCTGTAAAAATAATCCCTTACATTTGGTTCTTTATCACTCTTGAAATTTTTGGCGTAACACTAGCTTTTGATCCAGCAACGTTTTCTAATCGTATTTTAGCGCCCCATGCGGGATCTTGCTGTGTGTATCGCTCTTTAAGTGACACAGACTGGTTGAACTGCATTATAAACTGTCACAATGACCCGATTTGCGTTTCCTACAATTTCGATCGTTCCTCGGACGATCTTGGAGTCTGTGAAATGCTGAGCTGTGGAATAAAGAGTTTATGTGACCAAAAAAGCGCTTTGATATACTCGAGGGGCGTTATCTTTCAGCAGTTAACTTCAAAAAAGGTAAGGTTATTTATTTTCTATCGTATTTGAAGATGTTTTGAAGAATTTAACAGTAAGTGATTTTGGTGCACTTGAAAGGCTTTGTTGAGAAAAGTATATACAGATGTCAATGTGAGATACTTGATATCTGCGAATACATTAATAACGTCATGTCAGTCGAAAGAAATTGCTATGTTGTTGTTCAAATTTAGCCAGAATTAAGAACTTGCGAACATTGTTACAAAATCCAGGCAATAATTCTGAAACAGATATAGAGCTTTAGAAAGATGTTACCTTCTCACGAGCGAAGGGCTGGATACAAATCTAAGTCCCATGTGCCAAGTTAGACAAAATGTATACTTGATTCGGCGACAAACGTCTCACTGGCAAAGAATTAGTTATGCAGAAAGTGCTCTCCGTAGTGACTTGCAAAGCGTATCAAATTCAACCACTGATTCACAAACCTATTGTATCATAAGAGAAAAATACTTCAGTTGATGAAAATATCTGATATAGATTGACTTTTCTGTTTAAATTGGTCAAAGTTACGCTCTGACAGATCTAATTCGTGAATTCTGGTTTTTAGGGTACTGATATCTGTGATCCGTCAACAAGCACAGGCATGCGCAGTCAGGATGGAAACAGGAGTAGGTTTTATATTTGGAACAAGTGTGAATGCAATTGCACCAAAAATTTATAAATAAATAGAATTGCAATCAATCAACAAATTAAATATTTCATTTAAGTTAACATTTTCGCTCAAGATAGCCAAGTAGGAACCCTTTTTTATGTCGCACAACCATCAATAAAAAAAGGCCAAAAAGGGGAAGTAATACCGTCACCCAATGGCGTTTCCGAAAGCCGGATTTCTCGCAAGGCTCCCTCTGGCCCTGGTTAACCTTGAAATTTGTCTTTATCAGTCTATGTCTAGGGTCACCTCCTTACTCTCCCTATCTGACCACACCCTGAAGTTACCTGTCCATTAAAGTACATCGTCTTCGTTTTCCTCTTGTCCCTTCTATCTTCCCATTAAGAATATGCTTACAAATACCGGGTCGGTAATAAATATCAATCATATACCAAAAGATGATATGATATAAAACGAACAGACCTGCACCCAGATAACAACCAGATCGACAGACAAAAGGCAGAGGCCAGAAACGGAAGGGAAGATAAAAGTGGAAGATAGGGTAGATAAACAGACTATCAAACTGACAGACAGACAATGAAGGCTGATAGTTTCGAAAGAAACTGTTTGGGGCTGCGTCGGTGGGAGTAACGAAATAATTTGGATATATCAACAAAGTTGAAATGGTAAATTGGCCACCGTAATGATTACAAAAGCTGACGTTTCGAGCGTTAGCCCTTCGTCGGAGCGAATAGAGGAATTGTGGGTTGTGTGTGCTTTTAAAGGCAGAAAATGGAGCTACGTTATTGGTGGGTGCATGGCAACGAGAAAAACATGAATAAATTAGTGGAATGAAAAGCGTTCATTGATCCCTGTGGGATTTAGACTGCCGGTTTGAAAGATGAGCTTTTGTTCAAGATTTTTACGGCTTTCCGTGCCACCTAAGTGCAAGGAAAGACCGCAGATTGCCATATGTTGCTTAGAATGATTAGGTAAATTAAAATGTCTAGCGACTGGTTTCGATGTGTCCTTGTCATTCCTTTCCACGTCTCGAAGGTGTTCTCGGAATCGGTCACCTAGTCTTCTGCCTGTTTCGCCGATGTATATCTTTTTGCAATAAGTGCAAGTTATGCAATAGATTACATTGGCGGAGGTGCACGTGAAGTGATCGGTGATCTTAATGGATCGTTTAGGTCCCGATATTTTATCAGTGTTGTGAATGAAAGGACACGTTTTGCATCGTGCACGAGCGCATTTAAAAGTGCCTGGTTGGTCATTAGTCTGAAAAGAACTTCTGACCAAAAAATTGCCTATGTTTTTGTCGCGTTTGAATGAAATGAGCGGAGGCTGCGAAAAGATAGTGCTTGTCTCTGGATCGTTTTGAAGTAATTTAAAGTTTTTAAGAATGATGGATTTAACTGAGTGGTTGTGAGGGTGAAACGTGAGAGTGAATGGAATGCGGTCGGAATCTTCCTTATGCGACGTTTGTAGTGCTGAATGTCGATCAATAAGTTGGGCGCGGTGGTAACCCGCTTGAACGACAGAAACAGGGTAACTCTTGAACAAAAGCTCATCTTTCAAACCGGCAGTCTAAATCCCACAGGGATCAACGAACGCTTTTCATTCCACTAATTTATTCGTGTTTTTCTCGTTGCCATGTTCCCACCAATAACGTAGCTCCATTTTCTGCCTTTAAAAGCACACACAACCCACAATTCCTCTATTCGCTCCGACGAAGGGCTAACGCTCGAAACGTCAGCTTTTGTAATCATTACGGTGGCCAATTTACCATTTCAACTTTGTTGATATATCCAAATTATGACAG